TGCTTTCTGGTATATTGTCATACATTTTTAAGCTAAAGGGGAAAACACGAGAGCACTGTACATCTTTGTAAAAACTAACTTAAGGAAAGAAGCAAGTGGAAGTGGGGACATGAAGTGCCCTAAAGTGCTCCTGCTCTAAGCAAATGCTGCCACCACCTCCACTCCCACCCTCAGCCATGGGCAACTCTGAAACACGAACAGGGAAACAGACTCCTAAGAGCCCTCCAACTGATTGCTTTCATTTTCTTGCTAGGCGTTTCAGCCTTTACAGGAGCTGCTGCAAAGATACTTCAATCCTGCCTGCACAGTACAAAGCGCACTCTTAGAAGCTCGTGTTACCAGCCTCCTGTGGAGCTCACTGAAAGCTTGAACTTACAGATGCTAATTAGGTGCAGGTGTGTCACTTCACAACCATGAAGTGACTAGGTGCCCCCTCCCTCCCCCTCTTTAAACAGCACAGCTAATCCAGCCAACCAAACAGATCCAACTGGTCCCACTTAGCCCTTCGCAACAGAACACATGTTGCTATGAGACAATCACATTAGTCATGCCTACTGTTAGCCATATGTTAGCCGAGACACACTGAATGATTAAGATGCTCAAGATGATTAAGTGCCACAAAGGATGAGCCACAAAATGACGGCTGACACAGCCTCCTCCCAGCTATTAGCACAGGAACATCAGGAATAAAGTGGGGGCTGTATTTAACCACCCTCTTTAAACTCACACTGGTGTCCTGTGGTGATTAATTAGTCACTTGGACAAAATGGGGGTACAACCAGAAAACAAAAGAAATGGAAATTTACTCAGTACAGGATGGGAAGAGCTAGCAAAGCAGATTAACTTCATTATTTGACAGCCAAGGCTGTGCAGTCTGGGCAAGAAGTTAGTCCTTTGTCCTGAAAGACAATTGCCCTGTTGTCTCTAACTCATCAGACATACTTCTGGGAGCTCAAACTTGTGGCTTGGACGATTCAATATGATGAGCTGAGAGCAACAACATGGATTTATTTTCATCCTATGCTTTACCAGCTCAAAATTAATTAGGCAACTGCATATAAGATGAACTTCCTATAAGCAACAATCATTTCTGAGTATGAGTTGCACAACTACCATATATGATAGCAGTCACACAAGACAAAACAGATTGGTCTGAAGCCAACTGGTAGTCAAACTAGGGAAGACTCAATGACTCACTAGAATTTACATACAATTGATGTAATCATTCAGCAATTGATTCACTGGGATCTGCTCTAGTTGGGGGCTACCATTTTAGGTATGGGTTATTGACACAAGAGCTATAAATCCACCTGGACTATACCTTTCTGCCACTGAATTTGCCACAGTACATTGAATTTGTGTGATGCATTGGCAATGGAACTCTTTACCATCCAGCAGCATTTATTGTCACCACCAATCAGACAGATAGTACAAGTGAAGACTGGCATGAGCCACACCTCCAGTTGTGGTAAACCAGCTGTCTAGGTACCTTTTCACCCACCCCCCCACCACCATGCAGTAACTCAAACTAGTCCAAGCAACTGCAGTGAGACAGAACAAATGCTGGATGATCATCTCACATTATAATCAATTAGCAAACACAGACTACTGTACTGATATGAGTTACTTAATTTTTTAAATTAAAAATGTATTATACAATTATACAAACGATGAACACAAATAACAATCATTTGTAAAATCTCCCCTAAGTGGTCTCTTCATTTGATGACTTGACCAGACATTATCATCAAAACAGATCTCTTTGCTCAGGTATCAGCTACTGTCATGACAAGGGATTCATCCATAAATTAGGCAGCAACCTATGTCAAAATCTTAATTATTCCTCATTATCCTCTCTCAATTGATACATTCAGACTTTTTCTTCTCTTCCATTTTCACTTTCAATGCTTGTCTGCTTCAGGTCTGTACTGGTCTTCTCTCATTTTCCAAGCTAGATGGTTGGCAGCCTGCTTCTCCTCTTAATCTCCAATCTTCAGTCTATATGTTAGCTTTATTTGTTTCCTTCCTTTGCCTCAGCACTGTGCTTTTCACTATACAATGTTCCAAGTTCTGCTACAACCCTCCTCATATTTTATGTCATAATAATGCAACTTATCTAGAGCAAAAGCCAACTTACAGTTACCTGCAAGTACTGCTTTATCCCAGCCTCACTACCAGTTTAATCAAGACCTGATTCCCCAGCAATGGTGAGCTCTCCAAATATGGGGAAATGTCACACTATTTAATCGATACTGCACCCATTACATAACCAGCTATACTGAATGTTAAAAGAGTATTAGTAAATAGAAATGCACCTGAAGCAAATACACGTTCTTCAGAATTCTACAGCAAATGTTCTGTAGCATTTAGAGCACTGGTTCTTAACCTTGGGTTACTCAGGAGTTTTGGACTGCAACTCCCAGAAGCCTTCACCACCAACTGTGCTGGCTGGGGTTTCTGGGAGTTGCAGTTCAAAAACATCCGAGTAACAAAGGTTAAGAACCACTGATTTAGAGTACTCAATTTGGGATGGAGTTCAAATCCATTTTCAGCCAGTCATGTAGGTCTAAAGGCTGGCCACTCTTTCAAACACCTGATAGAACTGTTACAAAGATAATGTGAAGTACGAATGTGTATTCAGATTATTTAGACTTCAAGTCCTATAATTCTCCAAGAATTTCCCAAGGCAAAATTCCGGGAGTTATAGGCTCTGGACCACAGCCACATTTCACTCAACTGGATCAGAACCTTTTCCTACATGACCTAGGTCTGGGTACTTCCTGTTGTAAATAGACATTAAAAAGGAAGCTACTATGTTGCTTCCTTTCCTTTTGGCCTTAGATAGGGCTCCCCAGAAAGAACTAAGACTCCCAGAAAGCACTACAATAGTTTCTTTTGTTGCAAATTTACAACAGAAAGTATGATGGATTCCAGCCATGCAACTTTTGAGAAAAGGCCTTGATCCAGTTAGAGCAAAATGTAGGTGTCTAGACTCCCAGAATTCAGCCTGTGAAATTCTTGGAGAATTCTGGGAATTGGGAGTCCAAAAACTCCAAATAGCACATTCCTAAAGTTAAGTAAACTGCGCACATATAAACCACACTTAGCTCAGCAAATAATAGGCAGGACACAAGTAGATTTGTAAATAGTCCTGGGGTGGCTATACTCTTAAGGGCAGCTAAGAATAATTTCAAATAAATAAATAAAACTGTATCTCCACAAGGCAAGGCTAAGCTTTCAGAATAGCCTGCCTTCTTGTGGAATAATTCACCATATTCATTATTAAAATTTGCTTTTAACAGGTATTTGATGAAATGAGGTCAGGCCTTTGGCTCATGAAATCAAACTTACCTTGGCTGCCTGAGGTGTACAGGCTATATGCACAGTGCTAGGTTTCACCCCATTTGCTTTGGGCCTTTTAAATAAAGCAAACCGGCTTTTTCTTCTTCCTCTATCTCCATTTGGCAGAGAGCCATTGTACCTGTGGCAAAATAGTATGAGAAGAATTATATAAGTTATTTTGGGAGGGAGAGCTCTGGAGTTATTTGGATGTATTATCATAAAGCCGGGGAACTAAAGATCTTACAGTGACGTATTGAGAGCACCATGGCTATATGAAGAGGATACCTCTTTAAACCACATACAACTTGAAAGACCTGAAGAACTACGAAGGCAACAAGAAAAGAGATGTAGCAGGAGAAGGGAAAGTTAAAAACATCACTCATTCCTATTTCTATGGAACAACAAAATCCAACACGGGGAAATATAAGAAGTACCAGATTACAAAGTGCCCTCTGAAGACTGTACATGGTTCTGAAGCTACACATACACTGCCATCGTTTTCAAAACCATTGCCTAATTATAGACCATATGTGAAACAATCAAATAAGAACTGGACCACTAGAACTCATGGTCAGACTCCACAAACTGAAGATTGCAGCAAAATTTTTCCATTTGCTTCCATTGGTAGAATTGGGGGGGGGAAATCCACTGATTATAAATTGTTATATCAGAATAGATCCTCAACTATATGAAACCTTACTTAAAACCTTTCCGCAGTATTTACTGAACAAATGAATTTTAAGTTATATACAGAAACAACTGCTCCTACTCACATGTTCCTAAACCTTGTCTCACACAGGCCTGAGTGCATGTTACAACTGCTCCTACTCACATGTTCCTAAACTTTGTCTCACACAGGCCTTGTCGCACACACACACACATATACAGAAACCAACAGAAATTACTGAGAACAGAATTATTTTAAGCATTCAAAAGAGCCAAAAGTTGAGCTTCATCGACTGCAGTGATAAACTTCTGCTGATACAAATGGAACTTTACAGAAGTTCATTCTGGCTGGATTATGTCCAAGGTCATTAACAGCATGACACAATGGCATGCCTTAACTAACATCCTCTTGCTGCTGAAAGCTGGATGGAAAAAAACAAGCCTGAAATGGAAATCATCTTTATGGTTCAAGAGTGCACTCCAAATAGCCACATAGTAGAGCAAAGGGCAGGGCCACTAAAACAACTTTCGCCTGCAGAATGAACTGTAGTCTTACAGGTTCTCATTTTGACACAAGTCACTTACCCCAATACAATCAATTCCCCATATTTCACTAGTACTTTTGATGGATGATTTTCTTGATCAGGCGAAAACATGGGCCTTGTTAGTTCCTTTATCTCAAATTCCACTTTTCTGATCAAGAATCTTGGCACTCTTTTGTCATTATTTTCTATAAAAAGAGAAAGAAGATACAGAAATACGTTAGTGATGCCTGCCAGTTTGGCCAAGTGCAGGGGAAAGCAAGCAGCAGATTCATCAGCAGTGCACAAGTAGCAAGCTTGTAAATACCTTGTTACAAATGACAAGACTTGGAACTCCTCCCCTCCAGAAGTGGAGGCGTAACTACCTTATATTTGCACTGTAATACAACAGGAGATGATCCACGTCTTTTTTGGACTATGATTCTTCCTTTTCAGTTACAGGAATGTGGTTTCTCTAAATGGTGGACAAATATTACATGATTCAAGTACTGGCTTGTTCTGTACCTCATGTTATACTTTAAGTGTTGAAGCAACAACTATGATTTCTACCACAAGCTAGTGGTTTGTGACATTAAGATTAAAAAATAATAATAACTAAAAAAGCAACCGTTTTAATGAGTTCTGGAAAATAAGAAAGCATAGAGTGAACTTTTAAAATCATAATACCTAACTTTCCCCCTTGGAACTCTAATTGGAATGAATTTCTTTTAAAAATAACCTTCATTGTTACTATGCCCTCACTTCATTCCCTTTAGCATCTATGTGGTGTGCGTAGCCTGAATTGTCTCTTTGACAATTAATGAGAATCAAACTGCAAAGAAAATTATATTATTTTATATTTTATGCAAGTTTGCATCTCCTCTCCTCAGCTGTGTCTGTGTAGCAGAAACATGCTGGAAAGACCAGTGAGTGGTCCATGTATACTCTTCTGTAGCAAAATCACTAGCAGTCAGACAATATTATGTTTGCACTGGATACAGTGAGAGTGGTGGAGCAATACCTTAAAAAAAATACTCAAACTGCAAGCCCACCAACTTCAGTGGGGGTGAGGAAGAAAAGGAAAAATTAATATGGTTAAGGCACTTATGCTCCCCCATTTTCAGTAAGCAGGATTCCTTTCCATATAACTTAATATGGGAGAAATTAAGCATAAATATAGATGTCCATTAAAATAAGAGCAGCAGCTTGTACAGAAGCATGTTTCCCAGCATTAATTTTAATTACCATTTGACGTATTACATTGACCTTTGTCCTTAGAATTCAAAGTGCCTCTCTACATTCACAAATGTTGCTGGCAGACAGACTGGGCAACTCACTCTTTATTATCCCAAAACCAGCCTGGAGCAGCTTCATACCGTATTTTTCGCTCCATAAGACGCACCAATTTTTAGGAGAAGAAAACAGGAAAATATAATCTGTTTTCTTTGCTCCATAAGACGCACAGACTTTCCATCCCCCTGTTTTGTGGGGGAAAAGTGTGTCTTATGGTGCGAAAAATACGGTATTTGAAAGCTTGGTTCCAATATTGAAACCCCAAAGGCTAGAGCTGTAGCATCCTCTTCCCAATCTACATCCATATTGTTCTCACCTCTCCCCCTCCCCGCCCCAAAGAGAGAGAGAGATGATCCAGGAGCGTAATCTTTTAGAGGTAACTTTTATTTTATTATAACCAATCCACTTTATGAACACAATGGAGACAGGGTTAAACCTTTAACTTCACAGAACAGTTGGGATGGCAAGTTGCTGTATTTCAATATCTCAGGACACCAGCCAGAGGGCAGCTGAATAGCTGCATGGACTTAGCAAAGTTCGACAAAATAATCTTGTGTTCGTACCAAATGACAGAATAGGAGCGTCTTTGTGGAAAAACTGCCATCATTTCTAAGACACAGGGCTTACATTGTGTCGTATTGGAAACTATAGCTAGAAAGCGATCTCCTCCTAATGTGATTCAACCCACGAGAGGGAGGTTTCACAGTATATTCATTGAGAGAGGTTTTGAAAAAAGCCACACAAAATGTGCCAATTCAGAAGCAAAACCAAAAGGTTGTAGCGTCTGCTCAAATATTGCAACATATTTTCCCTTTCAAGTCCTTTGCCTTCCACACAGAGACTCGTATATTTCCTAACAGACAAGCATTACTTCTGTATATATTCACCACAGAACCTTAAAATATTTCTCTTCCTTTATAAATGTAGAACTTATTCACTAACTGGAAAACCCACGTCATCAAATCTGAGTAATAGCGTCTCTCTTTTATCAAAAGGCTAATTTCAGAACATAGTCAAAATGTGCATCAAAATGCCACTGTACTGAAATAGATAACTTTAGAAACACCCCTTTCTCAATCTTTGTCCCCTGCATCTCTGTATTCAGCTTTCTGGAAAATAATTGCTGGAAAAAAAAAGAAGGCCTCTTGTGCCTTTGGGGGAGGGGTGAGCAATTCTGCCATGTTTTGAGAGCCCACCACCTCCAGAAAAGGGAGGTTAGAAGGTCACTACCGGGCACAAAGGGGCTTTTAAAAGTTTTTTTTTAAAAATAAAGTAGCTAAAACATTTTCAGGTGGTTGTAGGAAGGGTGTGGACCTCCAAGGTTCAGTGATGGATGTGTGAGTATCCAGACATAAAGAGATTGCCCACTTGTTCCAGATAATAGGAATGTTGTTGGTTGTATACCTACATCAGTCGCATTAGTGTGAAAACAAACTATGTCACTGATATCTCCAAAGACCTCAATTTTCTAACTCCAGAACGGCAAGAGATGAAGCCATGGAGCAGTAAAGCCACACCTCTCTTGCCCACAATGGAAGAATTGCCCTTAGACTGTAAGCATCCATCTTATTTGTACATTCATGTCCCCAAGCACAACCAAACATGACAATTATTATATACAGTGGTGCCTCGCTTGACGAAGATAATCCGTTCCAGCGAAATCGCAGTAGAGCGAAATCCTCGTCAAGCGAAATAAAAAAGCCCATTGAAATGCATTGAAAACCGGTTGAATGTGTTCCAATGGGCGAAATACCTCAGCGTCCAGTGAAGATCCTCCATAGGGCGCCCTTTTTTCGATGCCTGTGCAGCGAAAAATCCGTCCTGAACACAGCAGGGAGCCATTTTGCACAGCGGGAGGCCATTTTGAAACCCAACGATCAGCTGTTTTTAGATCGTCGTAATGCAAAGAATCAGTTCCCAAAGCAAGGAACCGATCATCATCAAACGAAAATCGCCCTTTGAAGCATTGTGGTGAAGCAGATTTTTCATCAAGCGGGGTAATTGTTAAGCGGGGCACCACTGTACATTTTTGTATCGAACAAGACACAATGGATCTGGCTTCTCCCACCTCTAGTCAATGCACTCAATGAAGCACACACACACACACCCCACACCAGTCAGGAGCCAGATGAGTCCACAGATCATACTCTCTACCAGATGTGGCAGGAAGTCCCTTTCATAGGGACACATCTGCACCACAATCTGTGTTCAGCTGCCTGAAAAACAACAGCCTTCCCCACTTGCTCTGTGTTGTATTAAAAATCTAGTGGGTGAATTATATTCACTGAACGCAAGACCGGGTAGTGTAGAAAGATGCAAAGAAAGCATGTGGTGGAAATGCAGAAATCAATTTTCAGAAAGCAGAATTTTTTTTTTAAAATGATTGCTGCATGTAAAGAGATGCAAACTTGTCAAATATTTATAAAATGTTGGTTATGTGAAGGCATATCTCAATCCCTTCTCCCAATAGCATATTCAAATGCTATGAGTTTGTATGTGATGTAGGATAACCTGAACACATTTAAGAAAACAGTTATCTTGCCAACTGATACTTTGCAACCTTAAAAGCTATTGACCGACGTAAAGGGCATGTTCCCCTGCTGGGTTTAGTTCCATTAAAATTAATTCTGTTTGATTACACCAGACCAGAGTTGACGAGCTAACGTTTCATTTTACGAGGCCTTTGTGATTGCAGGAGTGTGGCTTATGGAAGTAAACCATACACCACTGGATACTGTATAATTAAGAGTTTTATCTTGAATAGCCAACAAAAGCAGTAACTTTTAAAACACATTAAACCAGGTTTTCCTTCCCACTGCATTAATTATCCGGTTCACACAATAATACTCTCAAATGTCTACCTCTGGCTTCTCTCCAATGCCCCCTCCCCAAAACACCCCAGTGACTGCAAAAGGCTTTGCACTGTGTGGTTTTGTAACAACATCCAGCTTTTACAGTTCAGGCTGAAATGTCCTCAGTTCACCCAGTGTAGGCAAGTTTTAAAGACAGCAGTGGCAGGTGGGAGTGAAAGTATTATTTTGACCCAAGCAGTGCAAAATTATCCTTCCCTTTAGAGGGATTTACAAGTTTGATGTCTGTAAAATGTATAGAAACGAAAGATCCTCCCACTTTGCCAAACAACAATATAAAAACAGGAAAATAAAATTCACCCTAAACAAGACCTTTTAAGCAGCATACTAATTTCTGACAAATATCCCTGAACATTTACATCTTTGAATATCTATTAATTACTCTTCAGTGAATTATTTATGTTGCTTAATTCACAATCTGGGAGAAAAAGACCACAAATACATGATGGGGCACAGAAACAGTGCAAAACCACAGCATGAGAAAATGTTCTCATATGCTTAGGTGTTGCCTTCCATGGGCCTGTCACACTAATTCTGGATAAAGCAAGACACGCTCTGCATGCACGGTTTCCTGCTACAATGGGAACAGAGGGTTCTTTAAGTATTGAAAAAATAATTTAAATGTATATAACTTATCTTCCTAGGGCAAGTCCCTTCCAGGAGGTTATTCCCCCCCCACACACAATATTATGCTTGAGAGCTTAGTTCCTGCTATAACAGATTGAACTCCCTGGAAATTCATGGTTCTGGTTAAAGCAATCTCTCTATCAATGGCACATTTGATTGGTTCACTAGCCCAGTTACCACCACTGCAGAGCACAAAGCGGAATAAGACAACTTCATCAAGAAATCAGCAGAACTATTATTGCTTTTTACAAAATGAATCCAAGATCAGTACAATAACAATGACTCTGGTGTAAAAGCTCTGTTTACCTCTGCCAATGTATCTCAAAGAACTGTTCCAAATATAGTAAGTGGCATGGCAAATCCAGGGCATCAGTGGCTGGCTGGGGCTTCTGGGAGTTGCAGTTCAAAAACACCTGAGT